AGAAAGAAGAAAAGGGGGGGGGGGGAGAAAGGAATACAGGAAAGGAAAAAATAAGGAAGGAAAGACGGAGAAAGGGAAGGAAAAAAGAAAGGAAGGAAAGACGGAGAAAAGGAAAAAAGCATGGAAGGGAGGAAGAAGGGACAAAGGAAAGAGACAGAGAGGAAAGGGGTGTGGTTGGCAGAAAGAAATGGAAAAGGGAAGTAAAGAGGGACAAAGAAAAGAAGGAAGGAAGAGAGAAAGAGGAAGGAAAGAATAAGGAAGGAAGGAAAAAGTAAGGAAAAGAGAAAGGAAGGAAGGGAGGAGGGGAAGAAGAAAAGGGAGGAAGGAAGGAGAAAAAGGATAGAAACAGAGAGGGAAGAAGGGGAGGAAAAAAGGAAAGACACGAGGAAAGAAGAAAGAGAGGAGAAATGAAAAATAAAGTAGCAGAGGAAGGAAGGAAGGAAGGAGAAAAGGAAACAAACAGAATCGGAAGTGGGGAGGGGGGAAGAGAGAGATAAAGGAATGACAGAGAAGAATGGAAAGAGGAAGGATAGAAAAAAGAGGAAGAATGGGAAAAGAGGAAGGAAGACAGAGAGAGAGGAAGAAAGGGAGGAGGGGAAGAAGAAAGGAAGAGAGAAAGGAAAGAGAAAAGAAAAACAGAGAGGGAAGCGAGGGAGAGGGGGGAGAAAGAATGGTAAAAAGGAAGGACAGAGAAAAGAATGAAAGGAGGAAGAAAAGAAGGAGAGGAAGGAAGGAAAAATAAAGTAGCAGAGGAAGGAAGGGAGGAGGGGAAGAAGAAAAGAAGGGAGAAAGGAAAGAAACAGGGAGGGAAGTGGGGGTGAGGGGGATGAAGGAATGACAGAGCGAAGGAGGAAGGATGGGAGAGGAAAAAGGAAGAAAGAGAGAGAACGGGGAAAGAAGGAAGAAGGGAAAAAGAAAGGAACAGATAGAGAAATGAATGGAGGAGGGGAAGAAGGATGGAAGGAAGGAAGAAAGGGAAAAATGGAAGGAAAGAAAAGAGGACTGAAGGTATTTGGAAACATTGTTCATATCTGTTCCATATGTTCGGTTGCTTGGATTTGCGATGTCTCGGGCGCTGTCAGTGTCGGTATGAGACGCCCGGTGGCAGATTGGCTCTCGGATTATTGTGTCTTGTATCAGATAAAGGTTCTGCGCAGGAATCGTCTACAGAGACCGCGCTCTCCCCGCAGCTGATACATTTCTTCTACGTTGTGGGGCTGCGGAGATACATTGTAATCTCACAGCTGGTGGCACACGGCTTTCTGGACAGCTGTGAGGGGCTGTCGGAATATCATCTTCACTCGTGTTGTAATCCAGCTGGACAGGGGCATCTGCACACGCAGTCCATGCCGTTCCCTCTGGTCTTCTCAGAATGTGACACATTGTGACACGGCCAGATGAGCAGCCCGTGGCTCATCAGCTGTTGTGAAACTACAAATCCCAGCATGCCAACACATTCTATCCTATTTTAATAACACCTGCACTTTTTTTTTCCGCAGAAGAGATTGTGGCACCTTAGACGCTAGCTCCAGCTAACTTCATTCGTTTAACGGTGTGTTGTGATCACCAATGGTCTCCTTTTTTAAAGTAAACCTGTCATAGTAAAAATATAGGGGCTGCCATTAATGACCCTCAGCTCGGCTGCCATTGATGACCTTCTGCCCGGCTGCCATTAATGACCCCTCTGCCCGGCTGCCATTGATGACCTTCTGCCCGGCTGCCATTGATGACCCCTCTGCCCGGCTGCCATTGATGACCTTCTGCCCGGCTGCCATTGATGACCCCTCTGCCCGGCTGCCATTGATGACCCTCTGCCCGGCTGCCATTGATGACCCTCTGCCCTGCTGCTGGATGCTTCTTTGCATAGGAAGGAGTAAATACAGATATGCTTTGATGCCCAACTCCAAACACATCTTTGTGGGCTAGTTTTGTGCATAGTAGTGAAGAGTTAGAACGTCCCTCCCTCTCATTGTGGTGTCATCTGGACAGGAAGTGAAAGGAAATCTCCCCATTGGGGACATAGGAATAAAATCTCAACAGAGGTTCCGAGTCTTCCTGTCTAATTCAGAAAATGGCTGCAATTTGGCTTTAAGAAGGGTATTATATCCCATTGTATATGTGACTCTGAAAGCCTTGCTGCAAACCACATTTTGGGCTACAAAACCAATAGGGCCGTGATTGGTGCTCATCCATTATGGCAGCGTAAAAGGCAAAGATCATCTGTCATGCTGTCACTGTGGCATCATTGGCCCGGAGCATGCCTGCAGATAAAGACTTCCAATTTTCTCTGCCTGCGCTGTTCTTCATACGTGTTCCAGGTCCGTCACTCAGAAAGTCTTAAAGACACAGAATGAGAAAACAAGTGAACTAGTGTTTGTATAAGAAGATTTGCAATGGCAGTCTTAAGTATTTCATATGACAGGTCTACTTTAATGTGTTGGCTGGCCCTTTTCACCAATAGGAAGGCTTGGAGGGGGCTACTGTCTACTTGTAGTTGGTATCTGCATAGTAGAGGTGCTCTGGAAGATGGTTAAATGTATGCGAAGGAGTAAACTAATGTTCAGGTGCCATGTCACATAAGAGGAAGGGAGTACATGTTAGACATGTAAGCTGCAGAAAAATTTGGTTCGGATATTCGTTATCTTGTGATTCGGGATTCGGATCCCAAATTTAATTCAGTTCAGGCTTCAGATTAGGACGAAATCCGAATTTTCGGAGGAGTTTACAAATATTCGTTGCGGATACCACAGAAAACCACATACAGATATTAATGCTAAAGTTGAATCTCCTCGACCCGAATGACATTCGGGATCTGAATTTCCTAATTGCATTTGGGAGCTCCTGAATGCCATTCAGGTCTGGGAGCCATATACATATAATACTAAAGCTGAGTCTCCCAGACCTGAATGGCATTTAGGAGCTCCCCGAATGCAATTCGGAAATTCGGATCCCGAATGCCATTTGGGTCTAGGAGCCTCAGCTTTAGTATTATATGTATATGGCTCCCAGACCTGAATGGCATTTAGGAGCTCCCCGAATGCAATTCGGAAATTCGGATCCCGAATGCCATTTGGGTCTAGGAGCCTCAGCTTTAGTATTATATGTATATACTGTATATGGCTCCCATGTTGCCGTAACTAAAATTTTGTGTTCAGATCCATTAAACTGAAAAACACATCTGATTGGCCAGAAAAGTCACATGCCCGATTCGGTTTAAATTTTGAACAAAATTCGGAAACGGAAATTCGGATTCAGACACACTCGGGTGCATTGGGATTCGGAAATGCTGAAACCTAGTAAGAATCGCACATATCTAGTACAGGTACATTTTAGGGCAGACTGACAGGTTTTCTTGTAAGGAGAACCCCCCCGGCCAGTGTTGGCCGATTGGCCATTCAGGGTCAAGCACTACATTCTGGAAGGAGGTAACTTGCCTCTCCATATCTGCATGGACCAAATATATTCTAAGGGATCCGATGGCAGGGGAATTCAGGAAAAGTAATTATGAGCAGGCTTTGGGTTGTTCTTAGATAAAACCCTGTTGCTTCCTCCTGAATGGACAAAGTGACAGATTTTGTTTAACAGCACCAAGGACGTGCATTCAGCTTGCCTGAGATTTTGGATTGATGGCCTCACTTTAAATGGCTGATTTTGATTGATTTCTCTTTTTCAGAAATCCTTAATAACACAAGAAGTAATTGCAACAGATGGTGGAAACCGCAGCACGCGGGTGGAGGTAGCAGTACGGGTGACGGATGCCCAGAATCAGCCACCGGTGTGGGAAAGAGATAAATATGAAATTGTCATTCCTGAGAACACATTGAGAGATACACCTGTTGTGGTACGTTACAATATTATAATGCTCCAAGGTGTCTGGATACGCAGTTGACCACAGAGGCATTGAGGAGTGATGGGCATTACCCACCAGCCTTATAAAAAATTACATTCAAGGCTATAGGTCTTCACATATTCTCAACAACTGGTAAATAAGCTTTTTAGAAAGCTCATTCCCCCATGACCTCTGTAGCTGCAGGTAATGTGGATAAATTAATCCTCAAAGTTCACAAAAGAAAGACTGAAGTCTTTCAAGTCATTCTCTCAGTAGTTTAGCTCCCCTTGCTCCCTCCTCCTATAAGTGATTCAGCAGCTCAGCTTACCCTGCCCCCTTTCTCCAGCAGTGATTCAGCTCAATCTTACTACCAGCAATGACTTAGCAGCTCACTTTCCCTTGCTCCCCTCTCCCAGCAGTAACCTATGAGCTCTGCTTCCCTACTTCCCTCGCCCAGCAGTGGCTCAGCAGCTCCCCATGCTCCCCTACCTTCCATCAGTAATTCAGCAGCTCAGCTCTCCTCACTCTCGGTCCCAGAGCTCCTGTGTTGAGTTTACAGTAGATATTAGAAGGCTGGAAGACTGCCAAGTCATTGCTGAGAGAGGGAAGCCGAGTAGGCAGCAATTTAAACAAGCAATCTGATTGGTTCATATGGCCAACAGCTCAGCTTTTGCTACAATTTGGCTCCCAGACCCAAATAGCATTTGGGATCCGAATTTCCGAATTGCATTCGGGAGCTCCCAAATCTCATTCGGGCCTGTGAGCCATATACATGTATTACTAAAGCTGCGGCTCCCAGACCCGAAAGGCATTCGGCAGCTCCCAAATGCAATTCGGAAATTCGGATCCCAAATGCCATTCGTGTCTGGAAGCCTCCGTTTAGAAATATATGTATTTGGCTCCCGGACCCGAATGGCATTCTGCATCTGAATTTCTGATTTGCATGGAGCTCCCAAATGCCATTCGGGTCTGGGAGCCAAATACATATATTTCTAAAGCGGAGGCTCCCAGACCCGAATGGCATTCGGGAGCTCCATGCATTTCGGAAATTCAGAAGCCGAATGCCATTCGGGTCTAGGAGCCTCAGCTTTATTATTATATGTATATACTGAACACAAATGTTCGCTACGGCATGTGACTCGATGGACATGTGTCTTTTTTCAACCTGACTAACTATGTAACTATGTAACTTTTCTGGCCAATCAGATGGCTCCCATGTTGCTGTAACGAAAATTCGTGTTCAGACCCATTCGGATGTATTAAACCGAAAAACACATCTGATTGGACAGAAAAGTCACGTGTCCGATTCTGTTTTGTTTTTGAATGAAATTCGGACCGGATCCTAAATTTGTAAACCGAAATTCGGATTTGGACACATTCGGAAATTCGGATGTTTCTGAATGTCCTAATTTTCGGAAAAAATTTGTCCGAATTTTTATTCGGAATGAAACAAATCACACGTGTCTATTGTCCTATAAGGATTTCATATATTAAATATCGCCCCACAATCCCGAGTCATCCTTGGGTCAGATTTTTGCAGGGTACAATTGAGGTTACTATTAAACGTCTATGAATTATGATGAAATATTTATTATTACTTTATATGAGATATTAATGAGTATTAATTATTAGGTGAAATGCAGGTTAATATTTAATGGAGGTCAGCGATTGAAGAGGATGCTGTGGGTTCACTCCTGTTAGCACCAGAACCTTTTTTTTTTTTAACTATTTAATTTCCTCATTAGCAAAACAGGCATTTCAGTCCCCCGTTAGACACACATCACCTCTTGATTTGAAAGCAGAGACTACAGGAATTAATTTGATATTGTCTCACTCTGATTATGCAGCAGTTGAATTTTACCATGTACACAAATACAGGTATATAAATACTAGGGCTGGTAATAATTAAAATTTTCGTGTTCGATTAATCGAAATTTTTTTTATCGATTAATCGATTAATTATAACGCACATACAGATCCAACTACATTGGCCTATACACATACAGCACAGCAATGAAGTAATAAAATGAACTAATGGTGCCACATAGTGCATATAAATAAGTTTAAGATAAGACAGAAGCTTGGTGCTTCTTGGGCAAACTCACCGGCTCCGTCGGCTAACGAAGGGAAGGGGGGAGGAGTCTGGTGACATCACGGACATCTACGTCACCGGACTCCTCCCCCCTTCCCTTCGTTAGCCGACGGAGCCACTTGGGGAAGGGGGGAGGAGTCTGTGACGCCACCGGATCTCCGGCGGGACTCCCGAAAGGCGGCGTAGAGCTGAGTCTTTTCATTTTCCATCAAAAGAATTTTAATCGATCAAAAAGTTTAACGATTAATCGAAGAATTAATCATTAATTTCCCCAGCCCATACCTATCTAGGACACTGGGGGACTCTGAAAAACGTAGACAATGATAATTATGCCCCTGTGTGGCACTAGCAGGGAGTGTGGACTTACTCAAGTCATGGAGTCTGTTATGTCAGTTCTGTAGAACCACCGTGATAGCCAACCTAAATGTTAATGGTCAGACCAAGCACATAAAAACTGATCCTAAACAGAATCCAGGTTCCAGACATGTGGAGAGTGCAATGACTGACAGTAGCAAAGGTAGCAGATTGATGGTCAGGATAAATACAGGGAAGCTGAGTATACATGCAGTCCAAACAATCTGCAGTAATAATCCAGGACATGAGCAGGTAGAAGTCAGACTGTCCTGAATCTAGGGCCTGAGCAGGAGACATAGACCTAATGTCCAGCAGTCTACTTAAGCTTTTCTGATCAGGGCAGGTGTGCACTGCAGAGATCTGAGCTAACGTGCTGAGTTATAACCAGCAGATTGTGAAAACTCAAGGATGATTGTTAGAGTCTAAAGGTGATCCCGCGATCGTACGATAATCGGCAGGTGTATGGGCAGCGTGCGACAACTTCTACTGTAAGCTCGTACGACTTTCCTCTTACGAGCACGCTTGAAAACCCGCCAAAAATCGCACACACTGCCCGCTCAGCACTGCAATCATCGGAAGCCCGCCCCTGGGCGGGAGGGCTTGCGATGATCGCAAGTACGATCTGCCTGTTCAAAAAGGGCAGATCGTACAAAATTTTAATGATCTTACAACCATCGCACAACAAAAGTTGTGCGATGGTTGTAAGGTGTATGGCCACCTTTTAGAAGGAGTAAGTAGAGTGGAAGGACAAGAACACTACACAAGTTCCGAGCAAAAATGAGCCAAAGGTGTAAACTGGTTTGACCAGAGGTAACATTTGTGGGGAATCCCTGAAGTGTGGGACATCATTTGCATTCATCTTTATCAAAAGATTTGCCAATACAGAGTCGTGTTTTCCTCAAATGACGACTTAATTCCATTATATCTCTCCGCTCTATGCAGACTGTTAAGGCAAGATCGCTTCTGGGGGATCCTCGAGTGACATATAATTTGGAAGAAGGACTGGTTCCTGAGAGTAACATGCCAGTGCGTTTTTACCTGACAGTGAACCGGGAGGATGGTTCCGCTTCAGTATTAGTGGCTGAGAACCTCGACTATGAAACCACCAGGAACTTTATCTTGAAAGTCAGGGCTCAGAATGTCGCTCCGGTGCCTCTAGCCGCCTTCACTACAGTGTATATTAATATTACAGGTAGGACAAAAGTCTGAATACACACTTTGTAAAGTGCACCTGTCCTCTCCTCCTACAGGAACATGATGCTAAACCAATGACCAAAGAGACACAAAAGTTATACTTGCCGGCTGTTAAAGCTAATTAGAGTCTTCTAATCTAATGTTGTTAACAGTCTTTAATAAATAATGATAATAAATATAATAAATATTGATAATAAATATTGCTGAGAATTTAAGAGGGTGTGAACAGCCTATATAGTGGCTCAATGTGATGCTAAGACACGTGTGCAACCCTGAATGGCTTCTCACAGCTAATTTAAAAACAGTCAATGCATCTCTTTTCTAAAGCTTTGTGTATATAGCATTTCAATTTAGCCGAAGAACTAAATAGCGGTATTACAGTTTTTTCTTTTATTGTTGTATGTTTTGTAACACTTGTAGTTGAGAAAAAAAACAATAAGATGCTTTGTTGAACTTGCAGATGTGAATGATAATGTACCGTTCTTCAGCTCATCAATATACGAGGCTTCAGTGACTGAAGGACTTGAGTTGGGGACTTTTGTCCTTCAGGTTTCTGCATCTGACCAAGACCTAGGTCTTAATGGAGAGGTAATGAAAGCATAAACCACTGCCTTCAGATTTCAGATCTGCATTTTCTGTACCTTTGACTGTTGACTTTCTTTACCCCCTTCAAGGCATGATTGATTCATGAAATGTCCATTCAGTCATCAGCATTGCCGGCATGATCCAACATTCCATTGGCTGGATCAACATAATCCAACATTCCGATGGCTGTGCCAACATGATCACACATTTCATTGGCTGGATCATCATAATTCAACATTCCACTGGCTGTGCCAACATGATCCAACATTCCACTAGATGGATCATCATAATCCAACATTCCACTGGCTGTGCTACCCATCAACATACCATCAGTTGTGCCAGCATTCATCAACATTCCATTGATTGTACCATAGGTCCTGTAGGTGATATCAACATTCATCATCATTCTATTGGTTGCACCGACATCCATCACCGTTCCTGTGACTGTAGTAACATTTGACAATGATCATTTGGTTGTACCAACATTCAGTAACATTCCAATTGATGCACTGATATTTTGCAACTATCTATTTGCTGTAACAATGATTTGTAACTACAAATGTTTATTGTATCTGTCACTATGGCGTCTTTTTAAAACTCTTCAGGCTACCCATATGCTGGGAGAATGCAGTTCACATGGCATTCCTGCCACTAGATTGAGCTGAGGAGCATAGGAAATTCCTATGTGTCTTTCACCATGGCAGATTATTCTCCATTTTCAGGTTTTAATAGCTTTCTTATTGGGACTTTTTTTTACAGTCAACTAGAATATCATCATCATTATTATTATTATTATTAGCCAAGTAAAATATGGAAGCCACAAAAATATAAGAAATTGCTCTTTGTAACAGATTTGCTTCCATTTTTAGTTTTAAAAAGTGTGGGGAAGGTTTAGAATTTCTGTTGGGTTTTTGTATACTGCCATTATCCGCTAGTGGGGAGATTTTCTCTCACTCCATGTTGTGTTATTGGGACAAAAACTAAGGGTAAATCTCCCTAAGAAGGGCACATCAAGCCTGACCCTTAAACTCTTCCCCTCTATATTTAAATCTTTAAAGCTGGACTCCTGGAAACTTTTCCATGGAAACAAACTTTTCTTATTTCTGAATAGCCACAAAGGATATAAATTAATTTTGTGTTCACCACATGCCCTTACAAACCTTGATATTGCCTTATAAAAGCAACAGAAACATCATCGCTGTGCTGCACATAGTCTGTGCAGAGGGCAGAGCTGTAGGAGGACCCAGCAGGTTCCACCCACTACAAACTACAGAACCCGCAAAAACATTCATAAAACTATTTACTTCTATAGCCTCAAAGGGGATATATATCCACTCTGTGTGCACCAAATTCACACCCAGTTATCACCCTATAAAAGCAGCAGTGACATCATCAATGTGCTGTGCATAGCCTGTGCAGAGGGCAGAGCTGTGGGAGGGACCAACCAGGCTCCACCCACTACAGGCTGCCTGCAGAAAACTACAGGAGGGGGTGGAGACAAGACCAGTCACCCTGCACAAGGAGAGAGAGTAGCAGTGACCGGTCTTTATTACAGGAGGGGGAGGAGACAAGGCCAGTCACCCCGCACAAGGAGAGAGAGAAGCAGTGAGGTGAGCAGTCTTCCTTACAGGAGGGGGCATAGACAAGACCAGTCACCCTGCACAAGGAGAGAGAGCAGCAGTAAACTTGTGCTAGGAAACTCCTACATAGAGGCAAAGTGCAGGAGTTGTTTCATGCTATGTGTAAGATTTGGCCTGGATACTACATAGGATCTCAAGCATAATAGGTTAATAATACTCTACTTGAGATCTTTTGTAGTATCCAGGCCAAGTCTTACTTCTACATAAGCAATAGATATTTGAAAGAAAATTACGTTTTGCGTTCCCTTTTTTAAAGACAAACAGAACTTCACACTGACACAATTCACCGAAAATACGTCTCATAGCATCCTGCTTTGTCTCCATTGAAACAATACAAGACACTTGATGTCCTTGGATTTCCAGCACATGTACACATAATAAACAGGTATCAGCACAGACCTGCTCTGCCTGCCTCTGCTGTGTTATCACACATGTACTGCAAAGAAAAGAAAGAGCGACATGAATCAAAAGCATTTCTTTACAGAAGGAGAAAATGTTTTTCTGACTTTTTTTGTATTTTTCCTTTGCTTTGATGTATCTCTGTGCAGCGCATTGAATTAATTCTCTCATGCTGATCCTCCCATCCTTGCAGGGGACAACAATGGTAGTCTTCCCAAAAGAAACCATCACTTTCATCTTTGCTTTCTTGCTTTCCTTACCAATGGGGGAGCGGAAACTACAAGATTCCCCGATTCAAATAGTGTAATTTCCCCACTGCTCAGTGTAACTGGAGATAGGACAGAGAGAGAAATAGAAAGAAAGAGAGAGAGAATTGAGACAAAGGTAGAAAATAGAGAAGAAAGAAAGAAAAGAGTGAAGAAGGGAGAGAGAGAGAGAGAAGAGAGAGAGAGAAAAAGCATAGACAGAGAGGAAGAAAAAAACATTGATAAGAGAGAGAGAGAAAGTTCCTCAAATGCTTTGGCAATGCTAAAATGTATTTGGCCCGGCCAATAAAGCTTATTTGAAATTTGAGAGAGAAGAGAGAGAGCGAGAAGAGTGAGGGAGAGAAAGAGGAGAAGGAGAGAGAAAAGAGAGAGGGATAGAGAAGAGAGAGAAGAGTGAGGGAGAGAGAGAGAAGAGTGAGGGAGTGAGAGAGAGAGAGGAAAGAGAAGAGTGAGGGAGAAAGAGAAGAGTGAGAGAGAGAGAGAGAGAGAAGAAAGAGAAGAGTGAGGGAGAGAGAGAAGAGTGAGAGAGAGAAGAGTGAGGGAGAGAGAAAGAAAGAGAAGAGTGAGGGAGAGAAAGAGAGAAGAGTGAGAGAGAGAGAGAGAAGAGTGAGGGAGAGAGAAAGAAAGAGAAGAGTGAGGGAGAGAAAGAGAGAAGAGTGAGAGAGAGAGAGAGAAGAGTGAGGGAGAGAGAAAGAAAGAGAAGAGTGAGGGAGAGAGAGAGAAGAGTGAGAGAGAGAAAAGAGTGAGAGAGAGAAAAGAGTGAGGGAGAGAGAGAGAGAGAAGAGTGAGAGAGAGAGAGAAGAGTGAGGGAGAGAGAAAGAAAGAATATATTGTATATATTTAGAGAGAGAGAGCTAGCTATGTATGTACAGTATGCAGAGCCTTAGCTAGCTCCTTTTGCGCCCGAGGCAAGAAAAGAAAATTGTTCCCCCCAGCAGGCGTGTTATGTCACCCATCGCTGCGTACACAAGGCGTCATGTGATGTAATGAGCCCTGCCTCCAGGATGGCTGCGCGCATTCGCAGAATGCGCTGGTGCCCAAATCCATATAGCATACAAAGTCCGAAACACATTTTTAGTCTTTTGCACATGTCTAATTGTGTGTGTGTGTTTTTTAAAAATTTTTATTAGGGGTCTAAATATTACTGGTCTAAACAGACCCGTGACCCGTGAAGATGCAGAGTCCTCTGCCCATACAGGTGGGGGAGACCAGCGGGGATCTAAGGAGAAGCTGGAGCCTGTGCTGCTCCTCTTCTCCCTGCCGAGCCGCGGCTGTGTTGGCCGCCTGGCGCTTCTGTTGCCAATGGCGCCCTGTGCTCGCCCTGGCAACAGGGGCGAGGGGGCGCAGCCAGGCTGGCCCTGGCTACGTCCCCTCTCAGCTGCGCCTGAGGCGAGTGCCTCACTCGCTCCATGGTAGCTACAGCCCTGACAGTATGTATAACACGTCAGATGCTATAGACCACATCGATACTGAAATGTCTGAATGGTTCGCATATATTGCCATACATGTTCAAGCTGGCCAACTGCATTAAAGTGGTCAGTCCCTACTGTACTGTGCAAATGCCAAATATTTAAACGCATGGTGCAAATATGGGGTAGGAGGGTGCAGATGAAGGAGAGTTCCAGACTCGGGTCTGGTCACAGACCTGCACTATATATATATATATATATACTGTATGATCAGTAACATCCTGTAACAAAGAACAGTCCCTGCTACTCTCTCTCATTTTGATGAATTGATGAACCTCTTATGAGGTTGCGGTCTGCTATGATAAGATTGTGTCCAGTCCTTGACCTCTGTGTCTTGTCTTCCAGATCATGTATTCCATATTGGAAGATCGTAGTGGGGACCATGCTCTGTTCCACATAGACCCCGAGACGGGGAGCATCTACACCGCAGCGGTCTTCGACCGAGAAGCAAAGACGTCATACTTACTGGAGGTCAAATCATCCGACGGCTCGGAATCAGCTCGACCGGGAAAACATGGGCAGCCCAATTCCGGTACACAGGATGTCTAGAAAAAATGTGTTGGCTTTTTTTTTTTTTTTTTTTTTTTTTTCCAAAAAACCCCACAAAAAAAACACAAAAAAAAAAAAATCCGTACAAGCCAATAAGATGATGACTTTCATTAGACGGATTTGCAGCTGACGCATCAAAGGCAACATTTCATTAGCGTGCGCCGAGCTTGTTTTGACAATCGAGTAACGACAGGCCCCCCGTCGCAGAGAGAGACTCGATGTTCTCTGTTCTCCGGGACTATTATCCAAAAACAGTTTTTCAAAAACACCCAACAAGAAGAACCATAAGAACAAAGAATCCGTACAGCCCTAGCTATGTGAAGTCATGCAAGGCTACACACAGTTGGCTAACTCAGAACCTTCCCTATAATGAAGCAGCCTGAGTCAGCTGCCTCAGGTGGCATCTCATTGGGTCACATTAGGTCACATGGCCAACCTGTGACACTCTGGCTGGGGTCCAGCCCAGCTTACTTACATCACTGGTTGCCAGAAGTTGAGCGGGATGCTCTGGCTGGAACCCCACCCAGCTCCTGGCAAGCAGTGACGTCAGTAAGGGACCAATCAGGAAGCGGGCAGCGAGTCATCTCAAGTGACGAGGGAGCATGGAGCCAATCAGGAAGCAGGGCAGCATGTAATGACTCGCTGCTGACACCAAAATGACTGTGAGTCATTTTGGTGTCACCCCTCCAATGATGTCACCCGGGTGCGGGCCGCACCCCCCCGCACCCCCCTTGTGACGCCACTGACCGATACTAGTATCGTTATCGCTGCATCCCTTTTATAAATTGGCTCCTAATGCTGCTTCTCCCTCTCCCAGCCTGAGCTCTGATGTACAGGGACTGCCAGAAGCTGCTTACTTACACTGCTCGCATTTAAACGACTACATGTAATGCTATGTTAATGAATACAGATCCGTATTATTTGCGTTCTTTATATCTCCCCGCTGTACCGCTTTAAAACCTAACTGGATTAAATTGTGTGTTTTTGGCATTACGAAATGCCAAAGACAAAAGCCCGTGGTAGTTTTTAATACAAGGCATACCGCTAAATATAATGCAGTTGGGATGCATCTGTGCTGTATCTTTCTTTTCTTTTTTTCATTCTTTGGGTTGCAGTTTAAAGGGTTAATAAAGTGTTCCTGATTGAAATTTGTCTACGGGAAGGAAGTTTGGAATAATGGGACCATCACCATTAAAATGACATAACTGGGGTAGGTGGAAAATGTATTGGAATAAACTTACATTAATAAGATACATAGATGGAAAGGAGAAGAGAAAAAAAAAAAAAGGCGAAGTGAATCTATTTGTGCCGGGCTGCGGGCTACGCAGATAGACGCTGTGAATATATAATAGAGTTTTTCAGCGTTTATTCTCCTTTGAAATTGCTGAGCTCCGAAGCTGTGCAAATTATCCCCCCAGACTAAACGGCCTTATTGGGGCGATAGGCCTCAAAAATAAAAAGCTTGTGACATCAGAAATCAATTATCTGTGTGTTATCTATTGAGAAGAATGGCTTTTGACGTCCGTCTCCCTCTTCAAGCGCGTTCGGGATAATGCGGCTGTGTAAATTGTTCCCTTGCCCCCGGGGGCCTGTTCCCGTATCGTCTACATATTAGTTTTCATTTAACGCTCTGCCCGACAGGCAGAGAAATTGCAGCCGACAGAATTGGCTCACTCCGGGGTTTTTTTGTTTTTTGTTTTAAATTTGCTTGCCTGTTGTCTACGCAGATACGGCCTACGTGCGCATTTTTATCAGCGATGTCAATGATAACCCGCCGGCCTTTGTGCAGAGCGCCTACTATGTCAGCGTGGACGAGGACCAGGATGTGGGTACAGTGGTGGCGACGGTGAGCGCCAGCGACCCTGATGAAGGTACAGTGTGATGTTATAAGTTGAAGGTTGAAAGATGTGCAAAGTAGGTGGTGATGGTGAGCACCAAGGACACTGATGAAGGTACCGTGTGATATTAAAATGTGAAGGCTGAAAGATGTACAAAGTAGGCGGTGATGGTGAGCACCGGTGACCCTGATGATGGTACCATGTGACATTAAATGGTGAAGGTTGAAAGATGTGCAAAGTAGGTGGTGACTGTGAGCACCTGTGACACTGATTAAGGTACCATGTGATGTTATAAGGTGAAGGTTGAAAGATGTGCAAAGTAGGTGGTGATGGTGAGCGCCAATGACCCTGATGAAGGTACCATGTGACATTAAATGGTGAAGGTTGAAAGATGTGCAAAGTAAGGCGGTGATGGTGAGCACCAGTGACCCTGATGAAGGTACCATGCGATGTTATAAGGTGAAGGTTGAAAGATGTGCAAAGTAGGTGGTGATGGTGAGCGCCAATGACCCTGATGAAGGTACCATGTGACATTAAATGGTGAAGGTTGAAAGATGTGCAAAGTAGGTGGTGATGGTGAGACCCAGTGACCCTGATGAAGGTGCCATGTGATGTTATAAGGTGAAGGTTGAAAGATGTGCAAAGTAGGTGGTGATTAGGAGAGCAAAGGCCCCTGATGAAGGTAACATGTAATATTAAAAGGTAAGGGTTGAAAGATGTGCAAAGTAGGTGATGATGGTGAGCACCCTTTTGGCTTCAGTTCTAAAAGTCAAACGCCTTTTCCTATTTGTTTTATTGGTATTATGTTCTGTGAATAGCCTTAATACAAATGCCCACATTCCAGTAAAGAGTTCTTATTGGTTGTAGTAACCCATCTTGTACAGGTCCATCTGCAGGGAAGTGAATGTTCAATGAAGTCTAAAATGTCCTTTTTCCAGGTATGAATGCCAATATCCGATACCAGATCACATCGGGGAACATAGGCGGAGTGCTGGATGTCAACCCGGAGACGGGCGCCATTTTAATTGTGCACCCCCTGGATTATGAGGAGGTGAAGGTCTATGTGCTCACCCTGTTGGCATCTGATGGGAAATGGGAGGATTACGCCACTGTGACCATCAGCGTATTGAACAAAAATGATGAGGCCCCGGTGTTTTCTTTGAACGAGTATCGAGGAAGTGTCGCAGAGGGACTGGTTGACTTACCAATGTTTGTATTGCAGGTAAGAATTTTTCTCAGTACACCTAAATGTTATTTACTTCTGCTGGTCCGAAGTCCAGGTCTACAAGCCCTTTATTGCAGCCAGTTCTTGTTTATTAAAGGGTAAGACCACCCCAAATTGTAACTCTTCTGTGGGATCTCTCTGTCTGATATAACTCTCCCATGCTAAACCCCCAACCCTCACATTAGGCCAAAAGCATAGGGACTGCTTGCATTTCCATGACATCAGCATAAAACTTTATTGTTCCAGACGCAAGAATACAGAAAACCTGCCTAGGCCCTTTCCCCCATTTGATGTGTTTAACCCAAACAGGACTTAGTCATGGTCCTCACCTTAGGCCAACTTGACTCTCTCCTCAACTCTACTTCATGTCAACCAATGTTGTCTAACAACCTGATGGATTCTCTCAAGATATACATGGAAAACACTAGGTCCCCCATAGTTTAGCGTAAAGCAGAGCAAGAAATGTTCCCCATAGGTGGATCTTCAATCACATTTAGGATTTCCAAGAGTTTTAGATAACAAATGGCTAAATCAGTGGGTAACCTCCAGATTCTCCTCAAAACTTAGAAGTATCAGTGAATCAATCACTGTCATGTAAAACACATGCATAAGGAAGTTTCGCCTGCAGTGAGTGTTTGGTGAATGTCAGATTCACTGCTTTATATAGATGCCTCATTGTGTTTTTTATATGTATATTAATGTTTCTTTTGTACACCACCAAGGTTTCTGCTAACGATCCAGACCATAACGAACTGGGAGGTTTAAAGTATTCCCTGCACGGTAGTGGTGCTGAAACAGTCTTCACCATCACTGAAAAGACGGGACAGATCTTTGCCCTGCAGACCCTGGACCGTGAAGAACATGCAGTGTGGAGATTTGTGGTGCTGGCCACCGATGACGACGGTGACGGTCTCACGGGATTTACTGATGTGATCATCTACGTACAGGACATCAATGACAATGCCCCACAGTTCCTCTGCACCTTTAACATTTGCAATGCCAGCGTGATGGAACATTCACCACCAAGCACTTCAGTCATGGAGATGGCAGCCATAGATCTTGATGATAAAAATGAAGGACAGAATGCCATTTTGACTTACTCAATAGTAAACAGTCCACTGGATTCCTCAAGCCAAAAGATGTTTGCCATAAACCATGAGACTGGTACAATTTATACAGCTGTTGGAGACCTTGATAGAGAAAAGAATGATACCTATTTGATTCTGGTAGAAGTTAAAGATGGTGGTGGACTTTCGACCACAGGTACTGCAACAGTCACAGTGGTGGACATTAATGATCACCCCCCAAGATTCACTCAAGATGTTTGGACCGCAGTCGTTTCAGAGACCAGTGAAGTCAACTTTAAGGTCCTTCAGGTCTCTGCAGTCGATGAGGATGTTGGAGAAAACGCTTTACTGACCTTCAGTATAATCGAGGGGGATCCTGATCAGAAATTCTCCATTGAAAACGGTAGGAAGAACCACTTGGCCGAAATAAAATTGAAAAAGAAACTAGATTATGAAAACCCTCATGAGCGTTGGTTTAATCTCACCATCAAAGTAGAAGATTTAGAGTCCTCTACTACTTCTCATTGTCTGATAGAACTGCAAGATTATAATGACCACCCTCCAGTCTTTAGTCCATCGCTGGTTCATGTGGAACCTTTTTTGGAAAATATAACTGTAGGAAGCATTATAACTCGAGTGACCGCTACGGATGCCGATTCAAAAGAAAATAGACAGATATCTTACAACATTGAAGCAGACACGGATGTTCTTGAAGAATTTTACATTGACCAAAATGGTTCCTTGATAGTGGCTAAACCTCTGGACCGAGAAACCATATCGCAGTATGCTCTAGTCATCTTGGCCATTGATAAAGGTTCTCCAGCGCAAACGGGCACAGCAACAGTGTCTCTCGCCCTTCTAGACATCAATGACAATGGTCCAAGGTTCGACGGCTTGTATATGCCTGTAGTTTGGGAAAATACCGCCTGGCCACAGACCTTACGTATGAACGAAAGCTCTTATTTGTTGTATGTCGTAGATGCGGACTCTCCAGGAAATGGGCCGCCCTTTCGGTTTTCTCTTCCAAGTGACCTCCAGAATTCCTCTGGCTTCCTGTTGGTTGACCATGGAAATAACACAGCCTCCATCCAAACTCAGAGAATCTTTGACCGGGAACAAGAGAAAGAGTTCCATCTTCCTGTGATCGTAACCGATAACGGGAACCCTCCCATGAGCGCCACGAATACGCTGACGATAACCATCGGAGATGAGAATGATAATGGGCACAAAGAAGGACACAAGGAAGTCTATGTCTATCTTCATGGAGGTAGGATATTGTCCGCAGCGTTCAATAAGTGTTTGTTATTTGATTGTGACCTATAGAACTCCACTGATTTGTCCTATTGTGCTTAACATAATCCGTATATATTTTAGACAACTCTCGGTACTTTTGATGAGCCTAGTTGTCAGTCACCTTGATGTTGTAAATATAGTGGGTACAAAGACAAACCTTCAAATTGTGTTTGTACAAATTGTTTAATTTGTACTATAAAATGGGAAAAAAAGACCAAAAATGTGGGTTTGCTTACATTTACCTTTCATTTCTTAGCCTTTAAAAATAGCCCAATCTCCCAATTATTGGTGTTCAATGACACTTTAACCTCCCAACTCCCACAGCCATTGGTGGTCAATGGCACTCTAAACATCCACCATTTAAAAAACAATCCCATCATTATTGGTGGTCAATGGCACTTTAAGACCCCCCACCCTCACCCTCTCCTTTAAACTGACAATCCTCCTTCCTGCTGAATGGATGAAGGGGAGCTTCCTCCTTTGTAAATAAGCTGAATGTTTGTAAACACCATTAGTGTTTACACGTGATTGGTTCACAGTGATCACAAGGTGCAGAGCCACTTTGATTGGCTCTGTGCACTGTGGCTGTGATCTGAACTGTCCAATGACAACTCAGATCACAGCCATATACTGGTGCACAGGCTGCCCAAGTGTGTTTTCTGAAATGTTGTTTTTAAACGGCGCTCCAGAAATACACGTCCACCTCCCGCCATTTTTTTTTACAATATGCTGGTACAGAGGTGGTTAAAGCCCAGTATGAAGTCTCACACTGTGTAAATATTTTATAGTCCT